CCTCCTGTATCCCTCCTCCAGAGCACACATTCATCTACCTCCTGTATCCCTCCTCCAGCACACACATTCATCTACCTCCTGTATCCCTCCTCCAGCACACTTAGTCTTCCTTGTGTATCCATCTCTCTCCAGCATACATTCTCTAGTTCCCCTTCCAGCAATTCCTAAGTATGTAGACCTCAAACTCCTTCCACAGAGTCCATGTCCTATTCACAGACAATACTGACACATCCTGCACAGAAACTCTAGAGTTTTAGCACTTAGACCCCATTCAACCTTTGCGTAGCAAGAACTCGCATTCCCACTTTATTTTGTGCAATTTTGTTGCGTTTGCACAATTTGCACATAGGGCAACCCATTCACTTGCGCCAAAGTTCTCCTGCACCCTTCTGTGCAACGAGCTTCATGTTTTTTCTTTCATGTGTGTTTACTGTGTTTTCTGCATGTTTTTCTCGTGTGATAGTCACAGCAAAATCACACTGTGTTTTGGTGCAATTCAGAATGAATAGTACCTAAATCTGCTTCACACGTTTTCCCGCAAATTTAGTGAGATCTGGAATCGCAATTTTGCCCACTATTTCAGATAGGCAAAGAGTGAATGGGGCCTCAGTTCACCAGCCGTTCTGTCCCCTCCTCCTTTGCAGAAGAAAAGTTTCTCTTTGCTTTTCAGTGGAGGTTGGTTCATTTTGGATCACTTTAAAATAACCTGTAGAATTATATTTTCTTGTTTAATATAATAAAGAAGTACGAGTAATAAAACAGTTTCAAAATAACGCTAGCAATTGTTTCCATTTGCATCGAAAAGGCCCTTTAAGTCTTGTTTTTTCCTTTTGGAGGCTAATAAATAGTATTTTATGGTAAGATTCCTAGCAGCTAATGTCCATATTTATTTTATTTTTAGTATTTATGGTTCACGCTAAATAGCCTTCTCCTATAAAGCTTTATTAATGAACTACTATTTCATCACATTTTACACTTTTAAATGCGCAAGGCCATGTATAATGCAACTGCTAGCTTTTGTATCCTGTCCAAATCCTGCAGCATTTAAACCAGGGGCCAGCAAAGAGCTAACAGAATTCATATTTTGCTTTTATGAAGCATTTTTCTTGCTATTTTTTTCTGTGTTTATCTATAAAAGGGTTTCATTTTGCCTGCTTGAATTTGATAAGTAAACAAGTGAATGAAGAGGTTTATTGGGTTTATAATTTAGGTTTAGAATGTGCAATGTAGGTCAATGGTAGAGCGTTTATTGGCTTATATTGGTTTTTGATTGGTCTAAGTACCTATAAAAGCAAATGAATTTGGAACAAGATGGTTTGTTTGTATCTGATAAAATGCATCTGAGTTTTGTCCAGCAATGCCAGCTACTGTGCTATTATAATGGAACCAGATATAGCAGTGCTAGACATAGTTAGACATAGTTAGACATAGCTAGACACATAGTGCCCCATCATCGGTGTCAGTGGGAGGAATAGTGCCCCATCATTGTCAGCGGGAGGAATAGTGCCCCATCTTTGTTTTCAGTGGGAGGAATAGTGCCTTATCATTGTTTTCAGTGGGAGGAATAGTGCCCCATCATTGGTGTCAGTGAGAGGCATAGTGCCCTATCATTGGTGTCAGTGGGAGGAATAGTACCCCATCATTGGTATCAGTGGGAGGAGTAGTGCCCCATCATTGGTGTCAGTGGGAGGAATAGTGCCCATCATAGGTATCAGTGGGAGGAATAGTGCCCCATTATTGGTGTCAATGGGAGGAATAGTGCCCCATCATTGGTGTCAATGGGAGGAATAGTGCCCCATCATTGTTTTCAGTGGGAGGAATAGTGCCCCATCATTGTTTTCAGTGGGAGGAATAGTGCCCCATCATTGGTGTCAGTGAGAGGAATAGTGCCCCATCATTGGTGTCAATGGGAGGAATAGTGCCCCATCATTGGTGTCAGTGGGAGGAATAGTGCCCCATCATTGTTTTCAGTGGGAGGAATAGTACCTCATCATTGTTTTTTAGTGGGAGGATTAGTGCCCCATTATTGTTTTCAGTGGGTGTAATAATGCCCTATTATTGGTGTCAGTAAGAGGAATAGTGCCCCATCATTGGTGTCAGTGGGAGGAATAGTGTCCCATCATTGTTTTCAGTGGGAGGAATAGTGCCCCATCATTGTTTTCAGTGGGAGGAATAGTGTCCCATCATTGTTTTCAGTGGGAGGAATAGTGTCCCATCATTGTTTTCAGTGGGAGGAATAGTTCCCCATCATTGGTGTCAGTGAGAGGAATAGTGCCCCATCATTGGTGTCAGTGGGAGGAATAGTGCCCCATCATTGGTGTCAGTGGGAGGAATAGTGCCCCATCATTGTTTTTAGTGGGATGAAAAGTGCCTCATCATTGTTGTCAGTGGGAGTAATAATGCCCTATTATTGGTGTCAGTAGGAGTAGTGTCCTATTATTGAAGTCAGTATAAGGAATAGTGCCCCATCATTGGTGTCAGTGACAGGAATTATGTCCCATTGTTAATGTCAGTGGGAGTAATAGTGCCCCAAGGGCCAGATAATGGCAAGCAAAGGGCCACATCTGGCCCCGGGCCGCAGTTTGGAGAGTCACTGTTGTAGAGTTACATATTTCATACAACCAATGGGGACACAGACAGCAATAAAATAATTTCAGTGTTCTGTCTTCAATGTTTCTTTATGCTAAATACATTCTTTCTGAGAAAGAATCTCTTTGGACAGATTGACAACTTTTTGAATATAAAAGGTCAACAGACAGAGTCAATGCTCCAAAAAATATACTAAGGTTTTCGTGTATGGTGGAAAAATGTTTCTAATCCATGCTGAGGTGGAAAACAAAAATAACTAATGGGAAAGGAGAGGAGAGAAATACAACAAACATGTCATACTTACCTGTTCTGTGCAGTGGTTTTGCACAGAGCAGCCCTGATCCTCCTCTTCTCGAGTCTAGCGCTGGTGCTCCTGGTCCCTCCCTCCTGCCAAGTGCCCCCACAGCTAGCAGCTTGCTATCGGGGCACCCAAGCAGGCTTGCTTACCACTCCTCTCTCTCCTCGTTGGCTCACTGGCTGTGATTGGCTCTCACTGCTGTCTCAGCTAATAAGGAGGTAGAGTCCCTGGAGAGCTGATGCTCTTGTGCACATCACTGGTTCGTGATGGGGTTCAGGTAAGTTTTAGGGGGGCTGAGGAGGGGGCTGCTGCACACAGAAGGTATTTTTACCTTTATGCATAGAATGCATGAAGGTAAAAAACCTTGAACCTTTACAACCACTTTAAGCGATGTAGATTTCAGGGGTCAATAGTAAGTGACCAGAATTCATGGGTCAGTCGAGACATATAATTTAGAGTTCAGTATTAAGTGACCAGAGTTCATGAGTCAGGTGCGACATATAATTCAGAGTTCAGTAGTAAGTGACCAGAGTTCATGGGTCAGTCGAGACATATAGGGGTTTATTTACTAAAGCTGGAGAGTCCAAAATCAGACTCCCTTCTGCATAGAAACCAATCAGCTTCCAGGTTTCATTGCCAAAGCTTCATTGAACAAGCTGAGGTTAGAAGCTGATTGGTTTCTATGCAGAAGGGAGTCTGATTTTGGACTCTCCAGCTTTAGTAAATAAACCCCATAGTTCAGAGTTCAGTACTAAGTGTCCAGAGTTCATGGGTCAGTCGTGACATATAATTCAGAGTTCAGTAGTAAGTGACCAGAGTTCATGGGTCAGTCGTGACATATAATTCAGAGTTCAGTACTAAGTGTCCAGAGTTCATGGGTCAGTCGTGACATATAATTCAGAGTTCAGTAGTAAGTGACCAGAGTTCATGGGTCAGGCGTGACATATAATTCAGAGTTATTTATTTATTTATCGAGTTTATATAGCGCCAAAGGGTTTGCTCAGCGCTGTACAATAGAGGGGGGGACAATACATGAAACAGAACAGTAACATCAAACAGCACACAAGGGGTAAGAGGGCCCTACTCTTTTGAGCTTACAATCTAGGAGGAAGGGGGTAGAGGCACAGGAGGAAACGGCTGTGGGGGATGGAGTGGTAGGAGGAGGGAAGGGCAGCGGCTGTTAGGTGAGGGTGGGGTAGGCTTCCCTGAAGAGGTGCGTTTTCAGGGAGCGCCTGAAGGTGAGGAGGGAAGGTGACAGTCTGATGGATTGGGGTAGTGAGTTCCAGAGGATGGGGGAGGACCTGGAGAAGTCTTGCAGTCGTGCGTGGGAGGAGGAGACCAGGGAGCAAGATAGAAGGAGGTCCTGTGAAGAGCGAAGGGTACGGGTAGGGTGGTACCTGGGAATAAGGTCGGTGAGGTAGTTAGGGGCAGTGTTGTGAATGGCCTTATAGGTCAGGGTGAGCAATTTGAATTTAATGCGTTGGGCAATGGGGAGCCAGTGGAGGGAGAGGCAGAGGGGGGTGGCAGAGGTGGAGCGGCTGGTGAGGTGGATGAGTCTGGCAGCTGAGTTCAGGATGGTCTGAAGCGGGGAGAGTTTGCACTGGGGTAGGCCGGTGAGGAGGGAGTTGCAGTAGTCAAGGCGTGAGATAATCAGGGAGTGTACGAGTAGTTTAGTGGTGTCTGGGGTAAGGAAGGAGCGTATCTTGGCGATGTTCCGGAGGTGGATCCTGCATGTGTTTGTGAGTGATTTGATATGAGGTTGAAAGGAGAGGTTTGAGTCCAGAATGACGCCAAGGACCTTCAGTAGTAAGAGTTCAGTAGTAAGTGACCAGAGTTCATGGGTCAGTCGTGATAGATAGTTTTGTTTACAAACAGTTCTCCCCCACGTCAGAGATGCTTGGCAATCATCAGGCGCCGGCGAGTAATCACCGGCCAGGACCCAGTAATTGATAGCCGTGGCCACGAATGGCAGTGCGGGTAGGGCATGTGCACGCCTCATGCGCGCCCCCTACCTAGGAATGCAAAATCATATATATACACATGATTTTGCAAACCTGTGTTGCCCTGTAGCAGTATTTCTGCTATAGAGCAGACGGAATGCGGTTAACCGGGTTTTGCATCCATTCGTGATACATTGTTTACTTTTGTAATTGCTGTGATTGACCACAGCTATCATATGATGCAGGGCTGCTGTGATTGTCCCTGTACCATGTGATCACAGTGACCAATCACAGAGATCACAGTAGTAAGCAATGTGTCATGAACGGCAGCCATCACTTATTACTTTTCATGTGATCACTGTGATTGGCCACAGCAACCGCATGGTACCATGGACAATCACAATGGCCTAATACCCTGATTGGTGATCCACATAATGACGTTTGTCCCATTCAGAATGACACTTGTCCCACCTGGCCGCATATGTGCACTGGCCAGGAGGGAAGTGGTTAAAGTGATCCTAAATGATATTTGTTTTCTAAAAATAATCCATACACATCCTTGGCTTAACTACCCTGTAATCTATTTATAATGTAATAGTTGCTGTTTTTTTCTGTCACCTTGTAATGTCCTCTATGAGTTCCTGAACTTCCGTATGTTTGGAACAAGTAGTGCATGTTAGTTGCGGTCATGCACACTACACATCACATACTACACAGTCAATATTCCATCTGGGAAGCGAGTAAGAGAAGGTGGCTACAGTCCTGCATACAGTGGGACCATGGATAATGAATGTAGTCACCCTCTAACAGGAAGTCAGATCACAACAGCAAAACAAGGAATTTAACTACTTCCCCTCCGGCCCATGTACATAAACGGCCGGACGGGAGCAGTGAAGGAGCAGGTGGCTCCCGCATCCATTGCCTGTGCGCGCTCCCGGGGAGCGCGCAGCACCGCGATCGCTGTAGGGACCTCTGTGTGAGGTCCCGATCATGTGATCACTGATTGGCCAATCAGTGATCACATGAATAGTAGTAAGCAAGATGTCACTTGCTGACATCATTGCTTACTACTAGTGAAATCTGTGAATGATCTCAGAGATCACATGGTACAAGGCTATTCACAACAGCCTTGTACCATGTGACAAGCTGTGACCAATCACAGCTCTCACAGTATTTCTCAATGGCTGCAAGAATGCAACCAGAGAGAAGGAGAAATGATTGCTTTTACAGCCTTTTTGGGTGTAAAAGCAATCAGTTTAAAAAAAAAAAAAAATCTTCATCACCCCCCACAAGTAGTACAGTGTCACTATGGTGACGCTGTACTGCTAGGGTGACAGTACGTTTAAAAAAAAAACCCATAAATAATAATATAAATAAAATAAAAATGTAAAAAATGTTTTTTTTAAAATTATAGTTTTTGGTTATAAACTAATTTGGGTTTTTTTTTTTTTTTTTACTAAAAAGATAGCTGAATACATTTTGGCCAAGATTTATGAAGAAAGATTATTTATTTGCAAACTTTTATAAGAAAAAAAAATACTTTTTTTCAAAATGTTTGGACTTTTTATATAGCAAAAAAATAAAAATCCCAGTGGTGAATAAATACCACCAAAATAATTTTCTCTGCCTAAAAAAAATGCAAAAAAATTCATATGGGTGCAGTGTTGCATGACCGCGCAATTGTCATTCAAAGTGTGACAGCGCTGAAAGTTTAAAATTGGCCTGGGCAGGAAGGGGGTGAGTGTCCGGACTTGAAGTGGTTAAAGACTGAGACTGAGAACAACAGAAGGTACTTAAAAATAGAAAATAGATTTTTTTTTTTTAAACCAGCGTCACTTTAGGTATATTAGCTACCCTCACAAACACATGCTTTACACATATGTACAGGTAACCAGGGGCGGACTGACAACTCATGGGGCCCCCCGGGCAATAGGGGATCATGGGGCCCCTGTGTCCTTGCCCAAACTCTAAAAAGCCTATGAGAAAGGTACCAGGGGCATCTCAAGGGGCCCCTACTGACCCCGGGCCCTCGGGCAGTGCCCGAATTTCCAAATGGTCAGTCCGCCCCTGCAGGTATCACAACTGCATAAGGTACTGTAGAATCCATGCAGAGAAATGCCAGTTCGGAACACATACCTCTGAAATTCCTGCAGATGGCACTATAGTTAAACATTTTCTGCTATCTTTCCTATTAGTAAATGTCTGTAGTACAGAGAGGGTAGATGTTTAATTCTTTAATAGAACAGATTTTCTCTTTGCTATCAGATTTACTCTATGGGAATTCTATGAATGCTCTGACGTCATCATTACTAATTTCAGATCATTTGTGTATTTGTATTTTACAGCACTATTGCCCTTCAATTATCACAATGGTTCATTATTGCTTTCATCCCTAATAGGCGATCTGAATGTTTATTCCTGCGACACGTGCTGCATTAGGTCAAGAGTAGAGCATTGGTCAGAAAATGACATCAAATCAATGCTGAAGCCCTCATGTATTTGCTCTAATAAATGGCTCATCGCTTCTAGGCACTTTGCCTGTGTATATGATGCCATGGTGACGTTGGTGGTTATGTCACATACCCAGGGGCGGAATGACCATTTGGGAACTTGGGCACTGCCCGAGGGCCCGGGGTCAGTAGGGGGCTCCATGAGATGCCCCTGGTACCTTTCATAGGCTTTTTTTTTGGGTTGGGTGTGGTTTGAGTGTGGGCGAGGACACAGGGGCCCCATGATCCCCTATTGCCTGGGGGCCCCATGAGTTGTCAGTCCGCCCCGGCACATACCTACTTAGTCTAGTCACCGACATTAACATACCTATGCTGGTCCTGTAACAGTTACACTTCACATGCCTACGTACACCCTTCAACAACCAACCAGGGGCGGACTGACCATTCGAGCACTCGGGCACTGCCCAAGGGCCAGGGGTCAGTAGGGGGCCCCATGAGATGCCCTGGTACCTTTCCTTGGCTTTTTCATAGGCTTTTTTGGGTTTGGGTGAAATTTTATTAATAGGAAAGATAGCAGTTTAACTATAGTGCCATCTGCAGGAATTTCAGAGGTATGTATTCCGAACTGGCATTTCTCTGCATGAAATCTACAGTACCTTATGCAGTTGTGTTACCTGCAGGGGCGGACTGACCATTTGGAAACTCAGGCACTGCCCGAGGGCCCGGGGTCAGTAGGGGGCCCCATGAGATGCCCCTGGTACCTTTCTCATAGGCTTTTTTGAGTTTGGGCAAGGACACAGGGGCCCCATAATCCCCTATTGCCCAGGGGCCCCATGAGTTGTCAGTCCGCCTCTCCAACCAACCTAGGATTTTCAAACATTAATATTTTTCACATTTTCATATAATAACTAACACTTTTCATTACATGTACTGGTCTCATCACTTTCCATGTACTATAATAAAACACAGCTCAAAAAAAATTATTTATAAATTAAAAAATGAATAAAGAAAAGTCCAAATAAGTTCCAAAAAAAAGTCCAACGCAAAAAAGGTGATGAAAAATTATATATATTTTCCAGTGTGCTCACATCATCTGTGATAAATCAATTTTCACCCGCACTCACCAAATCACCACGCTGGAAAATATATATAATTTATAATTTTTCATCACACATTTTTTTGCTTTGGAGCACGGGACTTTTATTTGGGACTTATTTGGAGTCTTCTTTGGTAATTTTTTTATGTATAAATGAATTTTTTTGCATTGTGTTTTATTATAATATTTTGATGTTTTTTCATCTTTTGAACAGCAGCATTTATTAATTGTGGTTTATTTCTTTGGTACAAGGTTTTTTAAATTTCTTGTTTTGACTTTCCATGTACTGGTCACCAATAGATTAGATTTATATTGTTCCCAGGACTGACACTATCTATTCTGGTCCTTTTACCTGCACACTTTATGTACTTCCATTGGTACCAGCACTAACGCATTTCACATACTGTTTTTGGTGCTATCACCAGCTAACTTCATATACTTATATGCTAACTCTGGCTTCAAGCACAAACTTATTTCATACATTTACATTGGTACCAGCACTAATGCATTTCACATTTCTGTTCTGATCCTTCACACCCGCTCACTTCATACATTTACATTGGTACCAGCACTAATGCATTTCAGTTCCTCATTCTGGTCCAATCATTCTCTCACTTCATACATTTACATTGGTACCAGCACTAATGCATTTCACATCCTCATTCTGGTCCAATCATTTGGTACTAGCACTCATTTCAGTTCATTCGCATTTTTACATTGGTACCAGCACTAATGCATTTCAGCTCCTCATTCTGGTCCAATCATTCGCTCACTTCATACATTTACATTGGTACCAGCACTAATGCATTTCAGTTCATTCTGGTCCAATCATTTGCTCACTTCCTATAATCCTATGGTCCAATCATTCGCTCACTTCATACATTTACATTGGTACCAGCACTAATGCATTTCACATTCCTGTTCTGATTCTATCACCCGCTCACTTCATAGATTTACATTGGTACCAGCACTAATGCATTTCAGTTCCTCATTCTGGTCCAATCATTCGCTCACTTCATACATTTACATTGGTACCAGCACTAATGCATTTCAGTTTCTCATTCTGGTCCAATCATTCTCTTGAACCACATGGATGCCACTAGACCTCTGAAGGTACGCTGTCTGATATCTGGCATCAAGCCATCGAACCTTTAAGTCCTGTAAGTTGCAAGGTGCAGCCTCTGTGGATTGGACTTGTTTTTCCAGCACATCCCACAGATGCTCCATTGGATTGAGTTCTGGAGAATTTGGAGGCCAAGCCAACACCTCAAACTTGCTGTCGTGTTCCGCAAACCATTCTTGAAAAAAGCCACTGCCATTATTGTATATCACTTCCATGAAGGGGTGAACTCGGTCAGCACCCTGACCAGCTTGTGGCTATGCAGCCCCATACACCAAACAGTGATGCCCATTTTTTCTGCCTTCAACACATCAACTTCAGGGGCAATATGTTTACTTGTAGTGGAATATATCCCACTGACTTTGAAAAGCCATTGTAATGAGATAATTATAATCAATGTTATTTGCTTAACCTGCCAGTGGTCATAAAGTTCTGGCTGATCTGTGTATATACATTACATGCAGTATATATAATATATACCTTACACAGTATATTATAGCGGTTTATGTCTACATTCTGCATCTGAGTGTATGCAATTGCCACAAAGGAAGGCATTATAAACCCTCTCCGTTATATTTTGCAGAAGTATATTCAAATCTTCTGCAACAATAAACATGTAAACAGATATAAGCTTTTTTACAGCCTTTGAATTACCGCAGTGTAATTACAAGTTAAAAATATCATAGTGTATATATATCACATTTTATAGCAAAGTGTCTGTTGCAGGATGATAATAAATGTGAAAATGTGTTTGGATGAGTACTCTTTACCTCATTCACTTTGTACGCTGCGAAAATGGAAGACGCAATACATGATAATAATGATAATAGCTACAGGAAAGAGCAACTCGGGCTAATATATGTATATATATATATATATATCGCTTTTATTCAGTGGGAACGCAGTTCCAGCACTGAATGTATGTAATGGTAAAGGGTGCTGGTGTTTGCTGTAGGATCTATAGTTGTTGGCTGCTGTGGATCTATTGTCACTGAAGGGGATCTATTTTTGTGTGGTGGTCTATTGTTGGGAAAGTCTATTGTTGCTGGTGGGAGGGTATGTTGATGCTGGGGATCATTTGTTGCTGGAAGGGATCTCCAGTTGAGGGAGGGGTCTATTGTCTATTTTTGCTGTATGCTGGAGTGTCTATTGATGCTGGTTGCTGTGAGATCTGTTGTAGCTGCTGGGGTCTATTGTTGCTGGGGTAGTATTTTGTTTTTGGCGTTCATTGTTGCTGAAGGAATGTATTGTTGCTAGGGTAGCATTTTGTTTTTGGGGGTTCATTGTTGCTGAATTAATCTATTGTTGCTGGGGAGGTCTATTGTTGCTGGTGGGGATCTGTTTTTAGCTGGGGGTCAATTGTTGCTGAAAGGGATCTCCAGTTGAGGGAGGG